TCGGATTATTTCGGGAACAAATAAGAAACAATTATAGATATCTTGATATGCCAAGATAATTTTAAGACCTGCCAGGTCAAAATCCATTTAGATTAGCAACGAAAAATAATATATTGACAATTTAAACAGATTTGATTCTATCCACGTATTCCCTGATCGCCTTCGCATTCATGAATTTCGTATGAAGGGAAATGGATCCTTTCAAATTTCAAATATTAAAAATATTTGGACAAGAAAGAATAATATTAAGATATTTACAATGAAAAAAAAGATGTTCGCGCAATACAATTAACCTTGCAATCTCGGCCTCCCCCAAAATTCTACCTTCTACAATTATTTAGGAAATATAAATCCTATTAATAATTATGATTTAAATTGTGATCCTCCCATTTCTTTTCTGATACCTTCGAATGGATATGATTTATTTGATTATAATCGTGAAAATCAAGGTCTGGATGAACAAATGAAATCAAATTTAATAGAAAATAATAACCAAACAACCTCCAATGAAGTTACAATCAATACCTACAAATTCATAATCATGAAATTCAATTGATTCAATCGTGACCTTCAGGATCAATCCGAAATTGAAATCAATGACCGACAGAGTTTAATGGGATATCTTTAATGTGTTGTAGGAAAAAATAATGAATTTATCCTTAAATAAAAATTAAATAATTTACGTAATTCGAATTGGCGATACATATCATTTCGATCGAAATTATATAAAATGCCGAATCTTCTACGATGGTAAGAAGTTGAAAATTTGTACATATTACTATAAAATTTAGGCAGATATACATTTAAAATATTCCGTCATTCACTTCCAGCCTGAGTGAGATCAGGCCCGTGTTGGGCAGCATAGCAACTAAGCTGCGGGTATTTCAAGAGCATCTAGCCACAATCACGAAGCTTGCGAATGCGAAAAGGTGCAAAAGGCTCATTCGGAAAAGGTCGTAGCCAGCAAGTCGGACAGGTCGACGGTCGTATTCTCGATGGGTCTCCGCCATCACAAGTTCACATCATCTTGCGGAATCAGCCAGAACAAATAGGCTGATCGACGGATGGGATCAACTACCGGGCACCTGGTGGCCGTCTTGCCATCATCAGTCAGCCAAGAGCGTCCTGAGCTGAGAAAAAGACATTGGCGGTGGCCGCACTAAGGATCATCTCCAAAATGACACACAATGGCCACCACTCGGTATTGAAGCCAGCTGACATCCCTACCTATGCTATTGTTGAAGAGCGGTACGTGGACCTCAGCACGAGAGAAGTCCACGGGTGTGTCTCGCTTCAAAGCAAGGGCAGGAAATCTTTCGAGTTGCAATACTATGCATGGATGGCATGGATGCAGGCATTCGTGTATGGTTCCTGACAATGCCACATGTTGATCAAAACTTGCAGGTCACATCTCTTTTCTTCCGGCATACGAAGGAGCAAGGGTGCAAGGAGTGCACCTCGGTCTTCAGTGGAGTGGGCCAGGCGTGTTTGCCAGCCATTGGACTCCTGTCCCGAAACATGGCCAAGGAGGTGTTGTCCTCGGAGCCAACCCAAAAATTCTGTTGCATCCTGTTGGTCAGTGGGTGCATGGTCATTGAACCAAGGTTGCAACAGGCGTTGAAAAGGAGCTGAAGCACAAAGATCCACACCTTCTGGGGTGTCGAGCAGTTCAAGCAGAGGTGTCCTCCACTGACCCCACAGTTCAGGATCAAAATCCTCATAGGCCAGAGTGCAAAGCTGCCCCAGCAATGCCGCATTGATGTAGCAGGCATTGGATGAATTGTAGAGCTTGGTTCGAAGCAGTTAGCGCATCAGCGTTTCACACGGTGGGCGATTGCGGTAGCAAGCGGGGATCTTTGCAGGCCGGTTGGCCTCAGGCGCAGTAGGATCAGCTGGCAGATCCCGTTTCCGCTCAAGGTGTTGAGCAGCTCGAACAATTGGGTCGAAGCTGCGCTCCGGAGGCTGAGGTCGAGGCGCCAGGGTATCGTCACTTGTGAATCGTCCGGGGTCTGATCTCGGTTCATGGGTTTGAGAACTGAGAAGCGTTGGATCAGATCTCCCTGATTGGCCAGCTGTGAGAGCTGTATTGTAAGCTCTTGAATCTTCTCCTGCGGTAGCGGTGCTTTCTTGGTTGGTCGAAGGCATTTTGCCGCACTGTCCCAGGAGAGGTAGTTCCAGGCGTTCTCGGCTGTCAGAATCCCTTTCTGTCGAAGGGCTTCGACCAAGGGATCGTCCGGGCTGTCGTACTTCAACTTCGTCAGTCTCTGAATCAGATTCTCGACCACTTTGAGAAAATTGACTTGGCGAAGGGAGCAGATGACACCCGTATTCTGTCGTTGATGATGCCACTCCTTGGCGGCCAGGATTATGTCCGGCAGGATGGAACCCCGTCCGGCCTGCAGAAACAGCAGGAAGCTTCTGTCCAAGGCCATCTGATTGATCATGTCTTCCTGGCGCAAGGTCAGCTTGACTAGCATCATCAAAAGCTCCGAATCCCCTTCCTACTTCGAAGAGGTGATTCAGGAGTCGGATCGGTGTTTCGATCTGCCTTTCCCAGCTGCTTGCCCTGAGATGACTCTGGCTCCGTGCGGGGGCGCTTGAGATGGCCTTGGCATGTATCCAGGAGATCTGCAAATGATATGTCGTCCATTGACATATTGTCGTCCATGCTCTGCAGCGGCGGGTGACAGCACAAAGTCTCTAGCCAATGCGTGTTCGAATTCTAGGATGGCTGTGCAATACCAACTGATTTGATCATGCGGGTCAGTGTCCATGTGGATCATGTGCGGATCCCACCAGGTGCCAGGGCTGTCTGAGTTCCAGGCCCAGTGCACGGGGAGCTGTTCCCCAATCCAGCGAACAATGAAGGGCACAGTGCCCAAATGGAGGCAACCTAAGGCAATTCCGGAAAGTGAATCGTCCATTTCATGACATCGGTGTACCAAAGCAATCGACGTTCAGGGGGGAATGGGAGATATCGATCAACGGATGAAGGCAATTGATGTCTCAAGGTCATGCTCGAATGACGATCGGTGCCGAGCATGAGACCGCAGCTCCAAGTCTGATGCATTCCCTGAGTCGGCAGCAGGATCGAAATGCTGGGCAGAGTGGGTGGCTGGACACTGTCGACCTTGGGACCATAGTGTGCATCCCTGACCCAGTTCATCAAAAGGACTGGGCATGTACCTCTGTCAAAATGATTCTTAAGGGCAAATGTCATGGTGAAGCTAGCTTTACAATGCATGCAGCTCAAACGTCCTCGAAACATATCTATGTTTGGGCGAAAAGGGAACGAGCTGGGCTTACCAATTTGATGAACATTTCGAAGATGGCTAGCGATAGCTTTCCGTCCAAGGTGCTCGAAAGGAATCTCAGTGATTGTGGCACGAAGGCGAGTGGCAATGATATCTGCACCAATGGGACGTCCCTTCTTGGCAATTAGAAGTTCCTCAATTGTCGTGGCATGGACTATCTATTGATGGGCCTGCAAGCCGTTCAAATTCAAAAAATAGGCTTGATATTATAGAATGCAAAACATTACCTTCGTTATGTATAATTCATTAATATATATATTTATTAATAATTAAAATAATTACAAAAGAAAATTAAATATAATTAAGATTTTAATATAATCTATAGTTATATCTTTATAAATATTTGATTTTATTTAATTATATCAAATATAAAATAATATAAATTTTAAGAATAAAATAATCGATTTACTTAATTCCTAATTCCAAGAAAAAAAAACAACTATATTTAATTTACCTTCCTTTACCCCAATAAATATTATATTTCAAAATATTAAAACAATATCTAATTTATATTTAAATAAAGAAATTTATAAATAAAATATATTCAATATATGGTTTATTTAATATAATTAATAAAAATTAATAATATATAATATATATATAATTTTATATTTAATAAAATATAGATTATAAATATATTATTAAATAATAATAAATAAATATAAATCAAAATATTTAAATCCTAATTATATTATATATTAAAATAAATATAAATTTAAAAAAATATATATAATTGTTATAATATATTTTTAAATATGTCTATTTCAATTACGAATCTAAATATTTAATATTTAAGAAGAAAAAAACACGAAAAATAAAATAACGAAAAGAAAAAAGAACGTAAAAAATAAAAACAAAAATGCAATGTTCGACATAGTAATTTATTTCCTCGGAAGCACCCTTTCATAAATATATATTAATTTATATATATTTTAAATATTCAAATATATACGAATCTAAATTAAACGATCAATTACTAAACCCGGACGTCCCGACAATTACTTCGCAAAATAAACTAAAAATATCCCCTAAAAGACTACCTTTCGTAATTTACAAATAAATCATTTCCATATATTTACGATTTATCATCCAAAACGAATAAACATTTATTCCTAATTAAAAATAACTAAATAAATAAATAAATATATATATATTTATATATCAATTACAAAATATTTATAATTTTATATTTAATGAAGTAATAAATATTATAATGCAAAATATATATTGGTTTTTATATAATTTATATATATTATTTTAGAATTGTTTTTCTATGCATCGCCAAAGGGAAAGGATCCGAATATCGTTTAGGCCGGAAAAAAGCTTCGCATGGGTGGCCATCTCCGATCGCCTCCCCTCTAGGATCTGCCAAATGGGTAAATGTGAGGATTTGAATAAAACCCCTCCAAAGATGCTGCAAAGATGCATGTTTGCATCCACAGCGAACTATATTGCGGGGAACCCTTCTGCAAGTGACCCCTCCAAGAATGCTATGCCAAGATGCGAATTTTGCATCCACAGCGAGCTATGCTACGGGGAGTGCTTTCCACTTGCTGACCTTGCGGCAGAATACACAACCCAAAGAATGTTTCTACCTTCGAAAGGGGAAGTGACAAAATCCAAAAGAAGGCTCACAACGAGACGTCGGTCGCTGAATGAGCTCTCACTCGCCCATTCACCAGTTGGTCACCAATCCAGCATGGTAATTTTCTCTTCGGCTGTCAGCAGACCGCCTGGCCGGGGAAAAGTCTTTTTTTTCAGCAGTTTCAATTTCAGCACAATTGGTCAGGAGTCAACATATAGTATGGTTTCAACCAGGAAGTCTGCAGTAATTACTGTCAATACAATTGACAACGTCCCGGAATGCGCTGCTTTCTGATCGTCTGGCCGTTGGTCCTTGCCTGGCCCCTGACCATGCGGACAATGCCGGCAATGAAGGCCGCAGCACGCCCCGGTCTTCAAGGCAGTGGCCGTGAACACACCCAGCCCCGTCCGTGGGTCCACCTGGCGTCCGCAAGGGACGCACTCCGGACCGGGTCCGGTACACCCCAATCACGAGCGCGTTTCAAGCGTTCGGTGCGCGCGAACCCGAAAAACACCAGCATTAGACCCCAAACAGGGTCAAAACGATTCTTTTGGACCTAATGTGTGTCAAAAACAGTCAACTGCTTGGGGAAAAACATCAAACCCCCATATGGGTTTTGGGTCTGCATGATTTTTGTCTGCTGGAATGTTTGGACACCCCGACCCGACCCTTCAACCGAGACCGAAGACGACCGTCATCGAAGGGTTGGAGAAAAGATTCCGGAATCACAGATCACCCCATTTCGGAATGGAAATCACCTCATTCCCAGGTCTTGGTGATCACAGAAGTATCACAGATCACCAGGATGTCTTCCCTCCAAACATGTGCTGGGTCTCCTTCCCAGCATTCCGCCCGGACACCGGGTGTCCCTCTTCCGATCCGAGCCGCGTAGCGCGTGCGACCCTGCTGCGAGGCGATCCGGTGGAGCCACGCACAGCTGGACAAATGGAGTCGCCTTGGGCACCGGCAAGAGCGATCCGACGGGGGAGGAAAGAGTCCAGGGGTCGAGGTAGGTCGAGGTAGGTCGAGGTAGGTCGAGGTAGGTCGAGGT